AACACATACGGTCAGTTGTGTTCATTACCAGTTTGATGCCAGTTGCACTTGTTAATAAACCACATAACTTTTAAATATTCCATAAACTGATGGATTATGAGTATAAAAGAGCAGGGGTTTTTTTGAGAAATGAGTGAATGTTTTGAAAAGCAAGAGAGGCTGCCTATCTCCTCATGAGGTGCTGGTGAAGGAACTAGACCATAAAAGATTGGCAGTGGTGGAGGCAGGGGGAATCGGGCAGTCAAGACAGATGCTGTCCTCGTGTTGCTCCTTGTGCATCTCTAAGAATCCTCCCCACCTAGAAGAAACGAGGATGAGGAATGTTGCTGACGTATGCGGTTTATAAAAGCTCCGATCCCTGCTCCAAAAACAAAGCCTTGGCCCTGCATCAAATCACCTACTTGTGTAGGTTCACTTTAAAACGGGAATTCACTTAGACATTTTTTGAGTGATTCCCTGATTTACTAGCTAAACAAACTAGCGTTTGTTTCTGCTTTACTAGCTAGTCAGGGGTGGGTAGGAGGGCTTCTTCGACTGCTGGGTGCCAAGTGACAACTGGGGTGGGGCCGGGGACTGACTGCTAAGAGCTGAGACTTACAGAACCAGGAAAACCACATCACAGACCCCCTGTCTGCCTTGTCAACAAGGTTGGGCTCCAGCAGAGGACGGGGGAGCCGGGGAAGTACAAGTTCAAGGGAGGCTGAACAGGGAGTGGGGAGGAGGACAGGCCATGCAGTAGCCCCACAGCTTCGAGGACAGCCCGTGGCAGTGTTACAGAGGGGATGGAGAGGAAGGGAGAGGTCTAGGAAGTGCAGCGTGCAGGATTTAGTGATGGATGAATTGAGAGGGGTGGTGTGGGAGGAAAAGAAAGGGGGCCAGAATTACTCCCATACAACTGACTGGATGGCGGTGCTCTTGTTTATGGAAAACTGGAGCAGGTGTTACAGATGCACTGGGGGAACGGGGCTTTCAAGGTGGAGAAAAGAACGCAAAGGAAAGGAAAGGAGGCAAGTGGCTCCTGGCCCAATGCCTGCATCATTTGTTTAGCAAGCGAGTATTAAGCACCTTCTGTGTACCAGGGTGAAGGCCAGGAATGCTGGTAATTGGGCATGTCTGCCAGTCACTGGGTTTCTCATGGGTCAGCAGGGATGCAACATTTGCATTTAAATCATCCCCTTGGTTTGCTGGTCTCAGACATAAAGGGAGAAGGGCCATCTGAGAGGTGCTTGGGTGCTGGGAGGGCAGCGAGGCATGGGGTTTCTACCCGTGGTGCCATCTGCTGGGTCGATGGTGCAGGATGAGAAGCCACTCTTGGGGAGAAACTGTCATGGCGGGCTGTGGTCAACGGGGCGGTCCGGCCTGCCAAGCCCTGGACAGAAATGCACCTGAGGAGGTGGCGGCAGGGAGTGGAGAGAGAGGTCATGCCAAAGGGAAGATTCTCACAGGGGTGTGGACATAAAAGGGGAAAGGGTTTGGGGTCTCAAATGCAGCCTTTTCTTACTGCACAGGATTCTAATTGAGGAAAATGGTAACTGAGAAACTAGTGATAAGTGATAAGTTAGTGATGTACTTGATTGCTCAGAAAATAATAGCTTCAACTTGAAAGAGCATTTTATAGTTTCTGAGCATTTTATAGTTTTCTATTTTTCAATTAAATATTTTTTTTAATTATGAGGATTTTAACAATGTCATCTTTGGCAGTATTCGATAACATGTTGTGAGGTTTTTGCTTTGGATTTAAAAAAAAAAATCTCTTGAGTCTCGTTTTATTTTCAGAATGACCTCTTAGAAACCTTTTAATCCAAGCATAAGTATTTTTATAAAATAAAGTAGACACAGAAAATGACGCAAGAAGGTGACATTTATGAAGCACTGATTCCTTAAGCTGGAATATCTGGCTTTTATTTTTTTCTCCCTGTATCCATTCCCTCCTTTGACATTTTAACTCCATTGTTTCAATAAAATAGGCATAAGATGCTTATCATGAAACTCATTTTGCACTTCAAATTTTTTTAAATTCTCTTTTGGGTGACTATGCATCTCCCTGGTTAAGCACATCAAGCTCAATTTTTTCTTTTTTGCATTTGCGTTCTGACTTGTAGACATTCATCCAGAGCTGTTTGCTCTTCAAGCTCAGGGCTGCATTTGGTTCTGCGGTTATCCCCAGCTTCTCCCACGGCGGGCAGTGAAGGCAGTTTATTTGATCTCCATCCCCTCTCCTAGGAAAAGAAGCTGTGGGGCATCTGTCTGCTTTTGCTTTCAAAATTAAAGTGAATTTAATTTCGTTTCGAGAATTTTGCAGTTCCACTTAAACAGCATGCTGTTGGGGACCTGGGAAGTCAGGCTGTGAGGTCCCCCCAAGCATGTGCTTACAGGCCCGTGCAGAACTGAGAAGTGCTGTTGTCACCTTGTTCATGCCCAGGTCTTGGAGACAGCTTGAGAGAGAGCCAGGGCTGTGGAGTCAAATCCTAGCTCACTCCTATGTAACCTTGAATAAACTAGCTTACTTCTCTAGGCCCCAGTATCTTCATCTGTAAAAAGGGAATAATAGAATCTAGTCGAAATAATATGAAATAGCAACAGTACCCCAAAATGGTTATTAGTGACATTATCCCTTTTACATGCTAACTCTACAGCTTACCCTTGCCTCATGTGCTAGGAGCCATGTAACCCCATTTCTGGGCTTCCTTGCATTTTGTGGGTACCCACACTTAATTGGATTATGGCTGTTGACTCATGTGGCTCTTCCACCAGCTGTGGGCTGCCTCCTGGCTGAAATGCTGCTGAACCTCCTCTGTGACCTCACACCTGGCCTGGGTACCAGCTGGCTCAGGGCGGACCGCAGGGTGTAAGAGTCTGCCCCAGGCAGTGCCCTCCCAGCATCACCTCCAGCCTGGGCTGTTGGGGCCCTAGGTGAGGACCGAGATAGACCTTTCCCTTTCAGGCCTGGAGATGAGGACTAGATGCAAGTCAAGGAATGAGCCCCAGATAGAGCATCAGTCAGTGCATGGAAGATTCCTGAACACCTGGGGAAGGCATTGGGGGGTAGTTAGAGAAGCCCTTGCCTGGAACAGCAGAGGAGAAATGGCTGGAGCAGAAGCGCTGAACCATGGCTGTGGAAGCTTTGAGAGGCCCTTAGGTGGGTGGTTGGGGTGGGAGATGAAATTAAAAGAGGCCTTTTTGCACCCTTGCCCAGGGCCCTGAGGCCAAGACTCTGATATCCATGTTGTCCTCAGGCCCCCACACAGGCAGCCTGCACTGGGCCACAGACTTGGGCCACCCCAACTCCAGCAGCTGCCTTTGGGATGCACCCCTTGATTCTCAAGCCTTTAGTCTCATCACTGATAGAAAAGCAGTTCCACGCCATTGGCAGTGGGTCAGTGGTATCATCTTCAGATAAAGTGCCACACTTTATTAGCTTCCCTCTCCTAATATCACAGATGTTGGACTTCCTCCTCTCAGAATAACCTCTGGCTTTTGAATCATCTGGCATGAATATATGTGGAATCATTGGTGGAGTTATTCATCTATTTTGTTTTTTATTTCCCCCTTCAGATTACTTAGAAATGTACTTTTTCCAGCTAAGACCTACTACAAAAACTGCTTCACCAAAAAAAAAAAACCAAAACCCCCAAAATGAGATATTTTAATAGAGCACAAAGATAAAAATCATATAGCAAGAGCCATTGTATTGTTTCTAACTCCGGAGTTTTCGTGTTACAAATGTTTTATGCTCTGCAAGTCTCTAAATACAGTATTACCATTTATGTCACAGTTCTTCACACAAATGACCGGAATGAGTCTCCTACATTCTCAACAAATTCTTACAAAAATCATAGTTAAGGCTTCATGACAACTCCATACTCTTATTTTCCAAAGTATTTTTTTCCCAGTAGGAATGTCCATGTCCGACTAAATTAGGAAGTAATTTTAAATAATCACTTCTAAGGTATCGGGATGAGGGAAATTTTATATTTTTAGGCAAAAGACCATGCAGCGGTTTTTTTATGGTAATTCCTTGGCTCCTACTGTTGCATAGAAATCAAATATTCCTTTTTGTAAGTGAAGTTATGAAATCATCCCTGAAGGGTTTTAGAAATAAAATAAATAATTCTCCCCTGAAATGATGTCAGTGCCTTTTGCCTCAAGGAAAGGAAGCAGAGTAGAGAATCACAGCTAGGTCCTTTCTACCCTTATGTTTCTCTGAGTTTATTACCTGCGCAAGTGATCTTCTCCTTTTGTCCCAGGGTGCCGCTCTCAGTAGGCCTGAGGACGAGTGTTGTGTGTCATGATGTGTCCCTTAGATAAAACGTAAAAATATCCATAACCAAAGAACTTGGTCTAGAAGGCAGTGCCGCAATGTGATAGAAGTCCCAGCCTAAGCTCTGATTCTAGCTGTACCTTCCTGAGTGGCGTTGGCTAAGCAACTTCACTTCTGTGGTTCTCAGTTTCCTCAACTGTAAAAGGCGGGGGTGGGGTTTGAACCTGATGGTAAAGTTCTGCGAATGAGAGCACCAAAGCAACGGGGTTTACTACTTTGATTCAGCATAAGCCTTCTTGATACAGCAGTCCCTCAGCTTCAGAAAAAAACCCAGCCTCCCAATCTTTGTTTTTGTGACAATTTCTTTAAAATATTGGAGATAAAAGTCTTTCCTGAAATTTGTAATAAGGAATCATAAAATGTCATGACTTTTAAAAATTTGCAGCAAGTCTTGGAGAAACAGTTTAAAAAGGAAGCACTTCAGATTATTTAGGGGAGAGAGAGAGGATTGGTTCCTTTTGTTCTGCAAAAAGCAGTAATTTCACTAAGAGCTGTCACTTAAAAAAGTGTTTATAGAGACTGGTCGCCTTCAAAGCAATACATTCATGTAGCATGTGTTTGAGATGGAAGAGACATACACCCCGGCTTTTATCTAAAAGGAAATCGTGCTTGTAATCTTTCGTTGTCCAGAAATCTCTTTGCTTTCAGGTCCTGAGACACAGTGCCATTCATCTTTCAGTGCCTCTGAATTGAACAACGTTAAGGTCAGTGCGTACTTCCCCCAGCTGTAACAACACCTTTTTGGTATACAACTGATCAGCCTGGCTGTGTATTAATCCAAAACAGTGTTTCCACCGGACAAGTAACTGAGGTGTCCTCTCATCCAACAGCCCTGCCTTATGTGGTGGAGCACAGTCGGGACACACTGGGGTGCCTCCAAGGAGGGAGGCTGGGAGTGTCCTTTTCCAAGGCGTGGGCCTCCTGTCCTGCTGGGCAGCTGTGTTCAACAAAGGGAGGTCTATGTTCAACAGTGAGCACAGGAACTGTGCGTTCATCTGGTCAGAAAACCACCCTTCCAGGGGGCAGAACAGCCTTTATAAACATCCTCATGCAGGTTCTCAGGGAAAACGTGTTCAAAGACAGATTCCTCTCAGCTTTGGTGTAAACCACTGAGTTAGTGAATAGTGACCTTGCCCCACTCCTACGGGAGAGACAGGACACACTTGCCTGGGACTTGGTGTGCCGACTGTTTTTGTTTTTCCAGTATTCCCCATCCCACCCCCCAAATTGGCAGCACTGTTAGGGAGCTTGGTGTAAAAACCAAGGCTTTGCCTCTAGCCCTGTGACATCAGCTGGCTCACAGGCGAGCTCAGGAGGCCACAGCCAGTTGCTAAGGACCACGTGCGGCACAGTCCTTCATCAAGGACGCAGTTAGTTACTGAGGGTCTCCCCTCTTTACCAAACGCCTTACTCGACAAGGTTCTCATAGCGTGTCTTTATGGCATGTTCACCTTTTCTTTCTTAAAACTGCAAGGAAGAGCCCACACTTAGGGGAAAAGTGTATTTGTATAAATTAAGAAGTTCAAGTCTGTCTACTCCTCCTGCTGTCCCCTCAACAGCCCTCCACTTTCCTTAGAGGTAATGGCTTACTGTGTGGCACATTCTCATCCAGTAGATTTATGCACATACGTAAGTGCATATATTATGCACTGTTTCAGCGTAAGACAATAACATTGATAGCTTTTTTTAACTAACATGAGATAATAGCTATAATACTGCCAGCAATTTGCTTTTTTTAACCCGGCATTTACTCATTAATAACCCCTGATGTCAGTATATGTAACAATATGTTACTTTTTAATAGCTGCATAGTATTATATAGGATTTAACCATTCCCCTGTTGGTACTAGACATTTGGGTCTCTAAATTTTTCACTATTACAGATAAACCTTCAGAGAGTAGCCTGGTACCATATGCTTGTAGGCATCTGGCCATGCTTATTAATAATTACGCTGCATTTGTTTAAAGACGTGCTCTCTGAACACACACAAACCTGTGCAGCCCTATCTGAGCAATGGGGTTAACTTACGAAAAGTTGCTCATCTCAGATGTGTGCTTTAAGAACTAGCCGTGTTTTCTCCATGTACTCAGCCTCCTGCTTCAGGAGGGGACATTGCTCAGAGCTGTCCCCAAGGACCCAGGGGTTTGGCAGCCTGCTTTTCTTAACCTGGGCTTCGTGGGCCTGACTGTCCTGCATTCACCCCTCTCATGTGCCACTTGCTGGAGGCAGGAAGTTGAATTCTGCTAAATGCCATCAAAAGAACTATAAAGTGTTTGGGATGGTTTTTGTGCAAAGCGATCGCCTCCCCTCCAGCATTTCTATGGGTGTGTTTGTTTCCTAGGGCTGTTGTAGCAAATTACCATGAAGTTAGTGGTTATTTAAAGCAACAGAACTGTATTCTCCTAGAGTTTTGAAGGCCAAAAGACTGAAACGAGTCTCACTGGGCCAAAAGCAAGGTGTTAGCAGGGCTGCATTCCCTTTTGAGGCTCAGAGAAGGATTTGTTTCTTGCCTCCTTCAGCTTCTGGTAGCTGCTTGCATTCCTTGGTGTGCCGACACATCACTCCAATCTTCAGAGACAACATTTCTAAATTTCTCTCTGCTCCATTGTTATATAGCCTTGTGCGTGTATGTGTGTGTGTGTCTAATCTTCCTTTCCCTCCCTCCCATAAGGATACATGTGATTGCTTTTAGGGCCCTCTGGGTAATCCAGGATAATCTCATTTTAAGACTCTTTAACTGAATCACATCTGCAAAGACTCTTTTTCCAAATTACATAACATCTACCAGTTCCAGGAATTAGAACTTGATATACTTGGGGAACATTATTCAACTTACTTCAGTGAGATTTCCCAAACTCTTTTCCAATATGCTTGAACGTACAGCTGGAATACACTTACTGTTTCCTTTGAACTCTTTGGAAGAATATATTTTCATTCATAAGAATGGCAGAAATAAATGTTATTTTACTCTGTGCATTAAAAAATGGACTAGAAAATCAAGTTCAGACAGAAGGTCTCTTGCTGATGAGCTGCATAACCTGGAGACTACATGACATGAACCACATGTACAACTGCTACGAGTTAAATCACAAACATGCCCGTCTTCCCTTTTAAATTTGGAAATATTTAACTGTGTGTTTGCGTGCCCTAGCTAGAAGAAAGTTGAGAAGCCATCTGTTCTACCTTCCCTCCTGCAGATCAAACCATGAATTTCATTTTACGTGTAGATACAACTGTTCTCCTGGTAAAAACAATGAAGGGTGTTGGCAACATTAAGGGCATAAGGCCAGGAGAAGCACATGCCTACCTCTCAGGTGGTTGGCAGCATCAGAATAACAAGGATGAGGTTCGTGAGCACCCATTTAACTGACAGAGTGTGTCTGCTCCTTCCGACCCCCCAGTCCTCCCTGTGAAAGGCTTATTACAGTTTGGATGTGGCCCTGCCCTTGCCGTGTGAATGCTAATGTCTTATACTTCCATTTCCCAATTTCACAGCAGACCTGCATGCTCATAAATTAAACTGCATCGCTCAGCATTATCGTGTGCATTTTAGGATTTAGTTCAAAATGGCCCAAACTACTGCCTGTTTCAGCAGAACTCCCTTTGGCCACCTCCTGTTAATATATTGTAGAGACATTAGGACGGCCATTTGAGAGTGCGGACCAGGCAGGTAGAGAACATACTCCCTTGCACAGGAGGTAGACGGGGGTGGCAGGGGATTGATCACAGGGAGGTGTTGGCTCCTTATTTCAGACAGAGGGTGGGGCATAGGTGAACCTGCCCCACTAGAAACAGAAGAGGTGATGTGCCCGCCAGTCTGTCTTATACAGGATCTTGAATGTGAATGGCTAGAGTTGAAAAAAATAACGTCCGTTGAAAAAAGTAAAATAAAGAAAACCCTGACTGTGGCTGGTTTTTATCACTTTCTAGGACAGTGAAGGGAGTTAGAAACATAACAAAATACCTATCTCTTAACCAATTTGCCACGGGTAAATGAAATAGTAACGCTTTACTTTCAAAGATAGACTAAACACTGTTACTTATATAATCAAAATAATGCATACACATAAGTCTCTTTTAAAATTCAACTAATTCAGAAGGGCTTTTAATAGAAAGTCACAGCTTCATCCCTACCCCCTTGCCCACCTTTTGAAAGCAGCATCTATAGTCTTATTATTTTGGAGGTGAGATGCGCAACTCTAAAATTGTATCTTCATTAGATAGCCATTGAGTCCCATTATGAAGGATTGATTTAACTCATTTATTCTCTTCACTCTACTCTCCCTCCTTCCTCTCATTCTAGATGATTCTATTATTTCCATTCTTTTATTGGTTACCTTTTTACTTTAAATAGTATACTTTTATCTCTTGAATCACAGAGGGTGAATTGCTTACTCAATATCCATTCCCCATTCTTTCTTACAAACAGACCCACTTTTGTTGAAAGCAGCAATGTGTCATTTCAAAAACTACACTTCTTTGCTTCCCTTGTGACGGAGACAGTCATGTCACTGTATTCTGGCCAGTGAGATATAAGCAGATGTTGTTGTGTGGGGCTTTAGGAAAGCTCTCTATAAGGGAGCTGATTCCCTCTTCCTCATTCTTACCTGGAATACAGATACAGTGGCTAGAGATGCAGCAGCCATCATGTGACGAAGAGACAACATTGCAGGCGGATGAAAGGCATGGTCTAAGAATGACATAGAAATCGAGAGGGAGCCTTGAATATTGATGGTAGTAGAGCTGTTGCACCATGTCTGAACTGCCTACCCTCCAGCGTCATTTTATGTGAGAAAAGTTCATACTCTATCTTTAATGTACCATTTTCCCCCATTATCTATTATTCACAACTAAATTTCTTTGTTGTTCATAAACTGTAGTTAGTATCTAGACTCTTCATGAGATAAGAGGAAAATGTTGATGCTTCTCCCCTTCTTTCCATCATTCTTTCTCCAACCATTTCCTTCTGGTAGCTGTATTCTTACATTGTCAATATATATATTTTAATTCTGTCTTCACAGTTAAGCATTCTGTACCTTTTACTAGATTGACTATAAAATTTGAACATCATTAAGTAGCTTTAAATCATTTTGATCACATAAATGTTCATTCCAGGGTCTAGTAGCCCTGGGCTACTCAAAAAGAAATGCCTAATATCAAGGTCCAATGAATTTTCTCATATTCCATCAAGGGCTTCAAATTAAGTCACACTTTAATTTACATTTTTTTACCGTGTTAATTTGGGGGGGGGGGTCATAGCTGAAAGAGAAGTTTTCAGTGTAACCTCAGTTTACCCAACCTCTCAGCATCCCCCTTTTTCTTAGGGGCCCACCTGTTCCTATTCTGCACTGGACTGTTGCTCTGCAGCCTGTGCAACTCCTCTCCTGGGTTGCTTCCTGTGTCTTCCACTTTAATGGTTTTTCTTCCTGGGTTTGATGGAACACATCCTCAGAGAACTTCTTAAGAAAAGAGCACCTGAGAGGTAAACTTTGAGTCCATTTATATCTAAAAACGTATTCTATCCCCATATTTAGATGATAGTCTAGAATTCCAGATTCATAGCCATCGTCTCTTGGAATTGCGCAGGCATTGCTCATTATCTTTTGCATCTAATGTTGTAAATGAGAGGTCAGATGCCAGTCTTATTTTTATTCCTTTGTCTATGAACTTTCTTTTTCTTATTCCTTAGACGTCTTTAGCATC